TCTTAAGTCTTGTATTTCCAAAAAATTGAATTTTTCATGAACATCGCTATATTTAAGGGTACCATACCCCCTTAACGGGGTTCCACTGTACCTCTACATACTTAGTATCTGCATACTCACAAACATATTTGCAACTCAGTTTATGAAAACCGTATCGTCACAGAAAACCTATTCTGGGTTGGGTTTTTCGAAAGCCGGTCCTCTGACGCTAACCCAGGGTTAAAGTGTCTATGACACAATTTTTTTTTCCCGCTGATTCTGATCGTTAATAATGTTAGAAAAACGGTTGTAAAGTTTTAGATTGTGAAAATACTTTGAAACCCCTTTTTTCGTTCAAAATACGCGCTACCTTCATGTTGAAATTGTCCCAGAGATCGCGTGGCCAAAATGTCACATGATTTACGTCTGTGACGTCACTGTGTTTGATAAACAAATCAATATGGCTGAGAGCGAAGGGAAACGTTCGAAGCATGGGGCGGGTCGAAAATTAGCGTTACTAGCTAGCAAATCACTTGCACATTTGAAGCCGTGTGCAAGAGAAATGACAAGGCGGCTTCCCGCGACAGCAATGTTATCAAACACTGTGACGTCAAAAACACAATTCTCGTCCCCAGTTTCCCGGGACACTTTTATAGGGAAATTGGCTGTATTTCGGCCGCAAAAAAAAAATCATTTAAATTATTACTTTTTTTTTTTGAATTTTCAAAACATTACTCCTTTATTAGATATATCAAGGAAGGAAAATACTTTAAAAAAAATTTTGTGTCATGTACACTTTAAAAGTTAACCGAATAAATTTTTCTCACGCTATAAAAATGTTTTTCACTGCTCATGTGAAAGTTTGTGTGTAGTTTGAGATTATCTAAACTCAAAACTGGAGGACAAACAATATGTACAAACAACACACTTTTATTGATCGTCTTATCGTTATTGGTGAAAAAGTTACATCTTCTAAGAAACATACCCAATTCTAGACTAGAGTGCAAAAACCAACCCTATTTATGATCAAAATGACCAAAATCGATTCCCTATTTGTGACCAAAACGGCTGAAAAACCAAACCCTTTGGGGCCACACATACCTATATAGCCCAATAAGGGAGTAAGCCCTCCCCCCCTCGGGTAATAGTGCTCATAGTATTGAATTGGCCTCGGGCTGCGCGGTTGTTCACATTTTAATATTAGGGCTGGTTCACACTTTGACATAAGCATAAGCATAAACATAAACATAAGCATAAGAAAAATATGTGTGAACCGGGGTTACATAAGCATAAACATAAGCA